ATGAACCAGTTTATATTCAGGTTGAACCAGTTTATATTCAGGATGAACCAGTTTATATTCAGGTTGAACCAGTTTATATTCAGGATGAACCAGTTTATATTCAGGTTGAACCAGTTTATATTCAGGTTGAACCTTCAGCCATCAGGTTAGAACCAGTTTATATTCAGGTTGAACCAGTTTATATTCAGGTTGAACCTTCAGCCATCAGGTTAGAACCAGTTTATGTTCAGGTTGAACCTTCAGGGACGCACCTGACGGCAGGTGACCTGAACCTTTGGTCTGAGATCTTCCTGTTCACCTCTGTTGTTTTCTTTAAATGTGGATTAAAAATGACAGAGGTAAAACTTTATTTTAAAAGTTTGGACCAAGGGTTTTGTTGTGGAGTTGCTCTTTACCCTCACTCAGGACCCTGTGGGGTCATGGCAGTCTGCTCAACCGGTCTACAGGGTTTGTGGACTTGTAGACTGGACCGTGTTCCATAAGGTGCACTGTAAGGGGGTACTCCAAGAGTCTGGGATTTGGGGTCTGTTGTTACGAGACATTTGGTTCTTATACAACCAGTGCCAGAGTTTGGTTCCCATTGTCGCAGTAAGTCAGACCCCCTCTCTACAATGGACATGTGTCCCAATCATTTTTACTGTTTTACAGATGGATCCTTCTGAAGGGGTCAGTAGGTGCAGGACTGCTGATTTTACACAACCATAGTGAGAGAGAACAGTTACCCACCAGGTAGTTTTTCAACTGTATCTCAAGCTGAGATATCTGCAGTCCACCAGTGTGTGGCATCTCTGTAGACCTTCAGTGTACACAGAAATATTCATCCTAACAGAGCTCAGCTGCTATTAAAGCTCTCCGAGGGCCACACTTCACGTCATTACTGGTTGGGAGTGTGCTGAAGCCTCAACCAACTGGGGAGAGATAACAGTGTTACYGTTCAATGGGTACCAGGACATACTGGCATTTATGGTAACCATTTCAAAGGTCCAGAGCCTGTTGTAGGTATCTCWACAACAGTCTGTAGGACTGCCCTACAGGCCTGGATTAGACGTCAACACTCAACCCTCTGGAGGAAGCTGACAGACTGTAGACAGGAAACTGATAAAGGGCCAGTTCCATGAATCTGACCTAATGGAAATGGCTTGGAACCGTACCGACACTACAGTAAGTGGCTCTAGTGGAAAATGGGCATAAATGGTGATGGGACTTCATGACAATGGTCTGTGTGATGTCTGTGGCATTGAACTACAGACCTCTTTGCTCTGCTTAGACCATTGTCTGGCTCTGAGTGGTCAAAGGAAAATAATTCTTGGGGGCACCTTTATGGATCCAGAGAAGCTCAGAACACTGAGTGTTTCTAACCTGGTGACCTTCATCTGAGGGACAAAGGTTTGATTAAAGACCAGAGTCTTTTTTGGGGAGAGCAATGGGACCACTTATGGGCAATGGGACCCCCACTCATATGGGTTTTTCATCCATCTCYGCTCACCATAACCATAAGTTGGACCCCTTCTGGGCGGGTCCACCAGATTCTGTAAAGATGGAAAGATTTGATAGCCAGGAGRGTTGAAAGGATCCGGTCCGGTCCGATGGCCTCAGAGTTCCAGCTCTGGTGTTTGCAGATGATGTGCTCCTGTTGGTGTCATCGTGTTGTGATCTTCACTGCAGGAATGAGGATCAGAACCTTGGTCCTCGGTCAGAAACAGGTGGAGGAGTCCAAGTCTGGAGGTTTTGGTCACTGAATGGAATAATTTTAGTGGTTTTCTCTTTGGGATGTTTTTAAAATCTGTAACTGAAAAGACCAAACTGCTGTTTCTAAGCAGGATTTTGTATCGGGTACTTTCTGATTTGTTTTTTATTAGCTTCATGTTTTTTGTTTTTAACTTTAGTTTCGTTAATTAAAGAACGGTACTTTCCAGGTTAAAACGCGGCCGGATCAACGAAGCCTTCCAGTTGGACGACCAGACGCTTGAGTTCATAGGGATCCCTCCGACGCTGGCGGCGCCCAAGCAGCAGCCGGTGGAGGTGTGGCTGGTGGCGTTCGGCGTGGTCATGGGGATCGTGGTGCTGATGGGCGTCTACCTCCTCACCACCGGCATCAGGGAGCGCAGGAAGTGAGTTCTGTTAGAGGAAAACGCGGCTGACGGGTCAGTGTTGGCGGCGGCGGCGGCGGGTAAACGCTGGGTTTGTTGTTGTTTGTAGGAAATCGGAGGCGGCAGCGGCCGTGGAGAATCCTTACGACATGAACGTGGACGGAGTCAGCAACAAGGCTTACGAGGAAAGTGACAACGAACAAACCGGGTTCTGAGGAGTCCAGAGGACAGATTTCACCGGAGCTGCAGCCTCTTGTTAAACATCTCTGTAAAATGTGAACGGAATCTGAAAAGCAAATAATCACTCAGGGTTTAATTTATTTTAGTGTTTTTATATATGAATGTAAGAGTGGATAAATACGGGTTTAGCTTTAAATCTTTAAATGCTGTTTACTTGTTTATTAGAAAAGTTATTGTTGTTGTTGTTGAGCTCTAAACCAAGGATCACAGAATTAAATCCATTTATAGACCAGAAATATGATCAGAATCTACTTCCTGTCATTTTACTCCTGATAGTTCATCAAATGTCCTTTATTAGAGTCATTTAAATGTAAGACTAAGTGATGATGTCACTAACAGGTMGTCTCATTTGATTGGTATTATTTTATTCTTATGTTGTCACTGCAGAGTGGAGGTCACAGTTAAATACTGAACAGAGCTTTGGTTTAACAGAGAACTGTAGAAACTCCTCTGCCTCACATCTGAATGATGAAGAGGAAGGAGGAATCCCACTCCTTGTCTGTCTCAGMCATCTCCACCAGGTCGCTGTGGGCGATCTGCATGAACCAGCCTCGGTACAGCGCCGACTCGAAGCGCCGCTGCTTGGTCCTGTTGGCCTTCATGTAGAAGACGAAGGAGAAGGTGCACTCGTCCTTCTTGGAGATCTGCTTCAGCCGCTGCTTCTCACAGGCCTGCGAGGAGAAACGTTCAGATCGTCTTTAAAAATAAAATAAAATTACATAAACAACAAAAGTTGTTGCAAAATGTTTGTGCAGAAAAGGTAAAGGTTCACAGAAGWCATGGTTCAAAACAACGAACCAAAGAAACTCTTCTTTAAATTCTATTTTTCTTTTCTTTTATTTTAACCTCGTGTCCTGCAGGTCAAACAAAAACTTTACTAAACTCCAAAACTTGTCTCTTGTTTATGAGAAAAGCACAAAGTGCTGCAACTCAGTGTGTCCACAGACTCATCAGTGTGTCCACAGGCTCAGTGTGTCCACAGACTCAGTGTGTCCACAGACTCAGTGTGTCCACAGACTCAGTGTGTCCACAGACTCATCAGTGTGTCCACAGGCTCAGTGTGTCCACTGCTCAGTGTGTCCACAGGCTCAGTGTGTCCACAGGCTCAGTGTGTCCACAGGCTCAGTGTGTCCACAGGCTCAGTGTGTCCACA